GAGAGAGAGAGAGAGAGCGTGTGCGTGAGGGGGGGTTGGTGGGAGATAGACACACGGACAGACAAACAGACAGACAGAGAGACAGGCTGACAGAAAGACAGACAGTGTGCGAAAGTATGGGTATGTGTGTTTGTGTGTTTGTGTGTGTGTGTGTATATGTGTGAGTGTGTGTGTGTGTGTGTGTGTGTTTGTGTGTGTGTTTGTGTGTGTGTGCTTGTTTGATTTTTTTCTTGTTGTTGTTGCTGTGTTTACCACAGTTGCGAGCATTTTATAGTTTTCTCTGCATGTGTGAACCATAATGAAAACCTGAAATATTTTGTTTGCTAAAGAGCTGGAATCATACTTTTTTTTCTTTTTCCCCTTGTGTTTTGAGTTACTCATGCGATCGGTCGTTACACTTTAAGTACTAGTTATTTTCTGTTCTTTTTTGTGCGTGCTTAGTTGTAAGACTTAATATTTTACAATAAGTGCTAGCTATTCACATATTTCTTTGCAATGCTTAACTCTGTATACACATGTGATCTCACAACCTGGAAGATTTTTTGTCTAATATTTCCACCTAGTGTTTTAAGTAAAGTGTACAATAAGTCGTTACACTTTTAGTATTGGCTGTAAACTATTACTTGTTTTGTTTTGTTCATTCCTGTTTGAAAAAAACAAACACATAATTTTGTTTTTTACCACAGGTGCAGGTATTTTATATGCTTCTTTTTCCGTCTAAACCCCTCCTAAACCTAAATATCATGTTCTAAAGAGCTAAAAGTATCCCTTATTTCATTGTCCTCTTACTGTTCTGAGGAACGTGTGGGGGTCGGTTGTTACCCCTGTAGAACTGGTTAATATAATCTATTCGTTTTTTTGTACAAGCGTAGTTGTAAGAACCAACACGATTTTGAGTTTAACCACAGGTCCTAATATACTATAGGTTTCTCTGTTCAGCTAAACTCTATCCAAACCGAAATGTGTCATGGCGTGGTGGAATCAGGCGCTTGTCAAAATAATGCTATTGGAAAAACTGGCATATTTCTGCCAGTCGCAATATTTATCGAATTTCTGGGGAGGGGGGG